GTGTGTGTGTGTACGCCAGTGCCACGTATATATGCAAAATTATTCATTAACTGATGAGTTTCTTTTTATTCGTGGTGAAATGGTATCAGAGTTTTGAATACAGTTTTGTTTTTTGAAGGTCACAATGAAGTCTTTATTCTTTTTCAGTACTAGCAGGGAACCAGAGTGGGCATCATGCAAAGCTTACGCAGCTTCTGTCTGTACAGACACAACCTGCTATCTGACCTGCTCCAGAGGCAACATGGAACACAAGTATCGCGTCCTTTCGTCCAATCAGCTTGCTACCGTCAGTTCGAGCAATATCACCTTTAGTCTTGACAAGGAGAGTAAGTATTGCTAAAATATTACATTGTTATTATGACCGGGTTACTCTTCATGTGTTGTGGCCCTCGTGAGATGAAATTGCACACGATTTACATTGTAATACTCTTGCGTCGCCCACAGGTGGAATCTCCTTTGATGGTCCCAATGTTCCCCATTCAAACAGATAACTAGCTCTGTGGTCTACTGTGCATCGTCTTCCCTTTTCAGTACACCAGCGTAAAACTCTGCTTATTGTACAGAGGCGTCAAACTGTATAGCCGTAAAGATGGGTCAGCGAGACTCAACTTGTATCTTTTGTATTTGTACACGTATACGGCATGTTACAGGGTGGGAGACACGGGCCTCCGCAAAGAGGTATTGGGTTATTTTTCCCCTGTTCCGCCGACAAACGCACAAAAAACGATACATACAAATGACGGCAGAAAGTACTGGAGTGGCGCAAGTTACAACTGCTCTTCTCATCCCCAGCATTCCTTCTGAAAAGAGGTTGTTCTCTGTAGAGGCCAAACCACGACAGAGGTTAAAGACACTGCAGAGGGAAAAAGTAATAGGTACTCTGAGAAATGTGAAATCAAAGTTTTGTTTCTCTGAGCTCATTCCAGCCAGGCCAATTCCCACTGTGCCTTGCTGTCAAACACAGAGATTTGTGCAGTTTGCGATGAAATTTAATCATTAAAAAAACTTAATAAAGCCGTCATATGATCTCATGAATAATCATGAAGTGACAGATTAAATTCATATATGCAGAGAGCAGGTAATTTTTGCAAATTGCAAGTTTTTCATAATAGTCCATTCTTTTAACGACAAAAGTCTGCAAATCCACTTGAGGTCATGAGATCAAGAAGGCGCATTACTTTGAAGTGCACACAGGCCAACCAAAGAAAAAGTTCACATACATGTACCATTACATTGTATTCATGCGGGGATAACAGGTCCCCATGCATTTGCCTATTTTCATGCCTGCTTTGTCTCTTTGGATTCTGATTTACCGGCACCTTGTTTTGTGCTTGTTTGGACAGACACCTTTTTGTTCTGTTTACTTCCCGTTTTGTGACTCTCCTCATGCACTATTTTCATCCTGTTTGATTCCTGCTTTGCGAATTGCTTTCCTAATGCACTATTTTGTATCCTGTTTCATGACTGTTTTTATCTCAGTTTGTTCCTGTTTTGTGACTTTCTCTTCGTGCGCTATTTTTAATCCTGTGTTAATTTTTAAAATTATACATGTACTTATCACAGAGAATACGATGGAAGAGCAGAAACTGGTGAAATAAAATGCAATTAAAATTAACGAGCAAGTAAGGGGGGGGGTCGGGAGTTGCATGTATCTTGTGAATAAGGAGGTGTGAATTGAGTCCAACTGCTTGATACGTTTTCATGCTTTTAATCAATACGTAAAAAGTAAATGGACTGTATTCATGCGTCGGCCATATTGACTTGAAAGCAAGGTTAAATTTTTTTTATTTTGGGAAATTAAAAATAACATGAAAGCAGTGACATTTATTGTATCTGAAAGTTTTAAGCAATATTTTTAAGAAACTGAAAGTGACGCACATGACCAAAGTAGTCAGAACCAAACTAGTCTGGCACCACCCAATTTGGCAGATTACGTCGAACAAGATAAATTTAGGGAACATGATTAAAAAATGGCTCCCTTGTGGATATGGTGTTTTCATATTTATCCTGCCAGTTTAAATTGTAATGCATCAAATTTTGTCACTAAACACATTGCCTTACACCCCAGCTATTACATCCAGATCATGGCAGGGTCATTCCAGAAAATAGGGGTCCATTTTTTGGGTGTTCCTGCCACATCTGACATGTGATTTTTCTAGGTTCAGGACACATTTTCTAATTTCCAAGAATGATGAATTGATGCAGATAACCTGCCAAACAAATGGTAAAAGTTTGAAATCAATTCCAGTGATATTTCCATGTCAAATAACAAAGATCAGATGTAACAGGGACACAAAAATGTCACACTTTTGGACCCCTAATTTTCTGGAATTGCCCACCAGTGCTTCAGCAATGGGTGTGAGAAGGCAAAGAGAAAACATGGAATGCATGTGCATGCTGGGGAGGGGCTTTCAACCACTAGGGGGAGGGAGGCGAGGGGGTATCCAAAAAGTCTGTTTGTGCGGACACGCTCGATGGACAACCCAGAATCATCCTGCCTTTAGACCATAGACGTATAAATTAGCTCTTTCCAGACAGCAATGTAAAATGAGATCTGATCCTTTGGCTCAGGGAGCAAGGGGTAGTGTTACACATGTTGACATGTAACTACCATATCTATTCAGTTGGTGCAAATGCGTTGATCCTCACGGCCATTGGGCTTAATTACCCACAGGGCCAAGATTAAGGCCCTTTAGTTTACTTATTGAAGCTTTATTTTAGGGGATGCGGTGCTAGGCCCATCGTGGGTGTGAAAGGCGAAGCACACAAAGCCAGGGTGCTCTCCCTTCTCCAAATTCAAATGAGATTAAACTGGACACTGAAGACATTGTGAACTTTCCTAACATTAATGTAATTTGCTGTGCATGTATGTGTCTTGGCAGCGAGACCAAATGCCCCGGTTGGCATCAAGGTGACAAGCAGGTCGTCGTCCTCGCTTCACGTGCAGTGGTCGCTCCCCGTGAGGATACACTCGGGGATCCTTATCGGGTTCTGCCTCCAGTACAAGTGGGAGGACAGCAGAAACATCACGAGAGTCAAGGTGCGAGACCTTTTGTCGTCATCTTATACACTCGCACTACTTTGAAACTGGAGAAACATCTGACTATTGCTCTTATTGCGGCAACCATTCGTAAAATTGATACTGTTTCTGGAAAAACAAGCTGGGAAGTCCAGTTTTTTGTGTTAAATAGTCAGCAGTCAGAAGTGCTGTACATTACCGAGTTGTAAAAATGGTTCTTTGTTCTGTCTCTGTATTCATGTGGGAATTATTTCCTAAAGTGTACTCTACATCAAATCTACGTATCTTGAGTGGTCTGTCCCGAAAAGGCCTTAAGTCAAGTTTGTAATAATGAGCATCAGACAGGTGAAATCACTCAAATGCTGCCCTAACGGCACACCTCTCAGCATGCCAAACAAATCTCACCTGTCCAAGAGAACGTGGATTGAGGTCATTCTATACATTTGGGGTCAAAAAGTGTGACATTTTTGGTGTTCCTGTTACACCTGACCTCTGGGAGTTGACAGGAAAATATCATTGAAATTGATGTTAAACTACATTTATTTATTGAGCAGGAGTTTTGCATGACTTAAACACTCTTAGATATTAAAGAACGTGTTCAAAACTTTAAAAGTCGATCGTTGGATGGGACAGGGACACAAAAAATAGGACCCCAAATTTATTGAACGATCCTCATGCCCTTTTTTAGTCATTGTATACATGTGTCTGCCTCTTAAGCTACAGCTGTTGGTAAAATGACATGAAATAGCCCTAGACAATGAAGTTTTTCCAGACAACTTTATGCTTTCCTCCGTAAACAAGTTGATAACATTTCGAGGTTAATTTGAAAAGTGCACTTTTGTAAACATTTGTAAATTGTCTGCTGTTTCGAACGTCAGAGGGCGTGTTGCTTATTAGGTCAATCTGGAAGGGCGCTACCCAATTTGAAGGTTTTTTGTTCAAATTGTGAACTCCAAAGTTGCTTGCTGAAATGTCTGACAACATTTCTGACAAAGGGCCGCTTGCTCTTGGCCCGTTGCAATCTCCCTTAGTAACAACGAATCACCAAGGAAAGGCTAAAATACACCTTTTAAAATGGTACGACAAAGTGGATAAAGGAATAATTGAAACAGAGAGTTGTAGTTTTAATTGAATAATTGAAGTGCGGACACCTGTTATTTTCTTTTCTCTCCAATAGGTTAACTCCAGGGATATGAGTTACACAATACAAAACCTCACCCATCCTCATGGCTTGTACTGGGTCAGAGTTGGAACCTTTGCGAAGCATGCTCGCCCCCCAAAATGCTGGAAGCTCTCAGAATGGGTCTCTTGTCGTACCTTGGAAGTTCGTGAGTTCTTCAGTCCTGTTTATCCTCTTGTCCTGCAGCATGTAGAATCTTGGTGGATAGACTCGCAATTGCGAGCAGGAACGAGAGAAGGGGGTCTTGGCGTGAACTCGGGTCTGGTGGCATTTTTTTCTGGGGGGGGGGGGTGTGCTGAACAAGCGTGATCAATTTCTGTGTTAATATATGACCTTTGCGTGTGCGCCGGGCATTTGCGCGAGCTTGATTATCAGTGGCACTTTTAAAGTTGGGGGGGGGAGAACTCAACCGCTGCTTTGGGCTTATTTAACTTGATGTTGGGGAGGAAAAGATTAAAAACCCTTTCTCAAAATCTGGGGAGGGGGCAAAGTTCCCCCCCCACCACCCTGAATTGCCACTGTCCTTAATCTTTTGCCAGTTAGGGTGCAGTTCAACTCGGGACACATATATGACAAACCACAAATGCAAAGTTGAATGTAGTTTTCATGTTATACATTTTTTAATGGCCATATGGTGCAGTTTAAAAGTTAATACCGTGAACTGGAACGGCACATTTGGTGAGAATTCTGTCAGGAAAACTGCTTTTTTCCCCCCCCGTCAACAGGTCCCCGAGATTCCCCTGGAAATTTCACCTGTGAACTAGAGGAGTCAGTCCCTCATGATGGCAACAGTTCACTGAGTGTTAACCTCACCTGGACGGTAAGATTTCAATATGACGTTCAGTATTGCAATATGAAGTTTTCAGGGAAGCACAGGCCGTCTCAACCACTTTCATGTATATTCATCACTGTTATATTGAATCTATTATCTTCAACCCTGGGGTCAACGGAGCAGTGATGAAACTTTCCCCATATCACCAAATAAGGTCCTAACTTTTTTCCAATCGGCTAACTTGGCAAAGATTCCATGTAATCCTCATCCCAGGCATGCACCACAAGCCTGTAGACTCCCATTGGCCAGATCGCGACCACTGCAGAGTAAGGAGTGTTGAAAGATCAGTATCCCAAAGACGCCCATATGACCCTGAAATGACCTGGTAGTAAAAGTGTTGGGGGCATGGCTACAAAAGTACTTCCAAAGCAGCATAATGAATTGTAGTTAGAGAGTGGACCTGGGGGATGTATTTTGCCTACCATAAAACAGTTGCACAGGGTCAGGCATGACAGGGATCTCCGGGAACTGATGTGGGGATTAATGTTGGCTTTCAAACATCAGTGCTGTTGCAACCGTGCCCAACATGACAGTCTTCTTTAAAGGGTATAAGCAACATTTGAAGCCCAGGGTGATGGCATATGCGTGGAATTGCCTGTGAGTAACTTTGCTGTTTGTTGGACTGTCTACATTTTCCAGCCCCTACCCAACCGGTTCGGGCAGAACGGCAATATTCTTAGCTATCACATCGTGGTCCACAACCAGAAAGTGAAGCAGTCAGTTGAGGCAGAAATCAGACCCAACCGAACCAGCCACAGAATGGAAGGTGAGTGTGGAAATTCATTTACAGTTCTCGTTATACAGGGGTGTGAGAATTCAACTTTTCAGTCACTTTCAGCTCTTTTGTGTCTGATTTTAACTCCGAATTTCCACTTTTTTGGTACACCTTGCGCTTCAATAAAATTTCGTAAAAACAAAAATGCTATTGGTGTCTGTTTTTCGTTTTTTGTTCTTTATTTCTAAACTTTTGTTTATTTTTTGGGAGTGAGATTTGCCTACGCTAAAGATCTGCATTGCAGTCATGTGGTTGGTCCACTGCGCGTGAGCCTGTTGTGGTTTGTGGCTCTAATTGGGCAGCCACTGCACGGGTTAGCGCAAGCAGTTGGGCCTGACCATTAGGCCAGACTTACTCTCTACGTGTGGCACGTGTGCCATACGCAAAGATCTCCAATGCATTGCCGCAGCCACCACAAAGAGCCATCAGTTGGCCTGCCGACGCACTGGCTACAATGGGCCAACAGTAACATTTGGGCCAATTCCTGCAAGTCGGATTTTGTGCTCACGATGTGATTTACGTGTCTAGATCGATCATCAATTGTAGCATGCTTGCAACTGTTGCAGTGTGAAAAAACAAAGTGTGCGTGTCCGAAATGATTCATAACTACCCCCGTTCTGTTTACACTTTCTGGAAATATTTTTGCGGCAGTTTCTTTTGGATCTGCTACACAAAAAGGTAAACGAATGCGGCAACGTGAGCAGTTCGAGTTACGGATATGTTTTTGTACATAAAAGCCTATTCTTTTGGGGGGAATTAATTATTATTCGAGTTAAACAAAGTTTCGAGTTAACCGACTTTGAGTTGTCAAGATTTTACTGTATTTCAAGTCATGTACAGATAACAGTTTTCATGTCATACTGACCAACGAAAAGTTGGGTTTTTTCAGCAGGTTAAATTTCTTTGGAATTAGTGAAGATGTTTGTTAATTAAACTCCAGAATGGAAGCCATTTATGTGCCATGTCAGGTGGTTGTATGTTACTTTGGTGTGATCCCATAAAATTTTTTCTTTCTCTTCTGTTTCTTACACTTCACCAATGGGCTGTACTCAAAAAAAGCTGTTTAGGATCTTGCTGCTCAATGATCCTCTCTATTTTTGAACACACTGAAGTAGAAAGGAGCCTGACTATTTGGCTACTTCTTTTGGTATAACCTATTGGGTTTTGAGAACATTTTTACAGAGATCAACTTGCTTTTCACTTAAGATGGCAGACTCATGAGTGAGACCCTTTGTCTCTCAGTGATGATTCTTCACTGAGTGTGGCATATTTTTAACGGCAGAGTTCACAAAAGAATGTTTCTTCACTCAACCCTGCAGGCTTGCCAAATGCCAGGCACTACAACATCAGCATACAGGCACAAAATTCCATCGGACTGTCGGATCCCAGCTGGTGTGCTGTGGAGGTCACTGTACCAGGTAAAACACAAGGCTCCGTGCAAGGGGTTTGAAGCCCTGCCCCAAGCTTTAATGGCAACCCACAAGGGCATGAACAGGGTCTCCTTTAAAAGACGTGAAAGTACCATGTCAACCCATGGTTTGCCCAAGACGGGCCACCATTCTAGGCAAGCGTTGGGTTAGTAAACTGTACATTGTACATTGTAAACCAGACAGTGAGGCCCATTTTTGCATGGAATAACCACGAATTCTTTAGCATGTGGTGTATCAAAGTGTCACCAATTGTTCCATGTGCAGTTTTCATCGTTCCAATACAGTACTGGGTACTGGTTCTGCTTTTATCTCATACTTTTTCCCTCATAGGAAGCATTAAAGGCTTTCCCACTAGGTAAAGAACCTGCATGGTGTCGTGGTCATTGCCTATGACAGTGGCAAATGTACGTAGGGTCAAGTAGATGTCAGGTTTGATTTGCTTTCTCATTTACCTGTAGTATGAACTGGTCTCTGTGCAATTGGTCTAGAATTTTGAAGAGCATTTCGAGGTTACTCAGCACATTATTTGTTAGAAAAAGTGGTTGCAGCCCAATTCTTAAGTTGTATTCCGAAATTTGATGTGAAGGCTTAGAGCTACCTCAGGAGCTGAGAAGTCAATTGACGCCAAATGTCTAAAAGAGTAGCACTCGAGGGTCCATCAACAACTTTCATGTAATTTCACTGATACGAGCGAGGAATGGGGGTGTTGTACTCTCTGCCATTTAATTTTGGCTGAACTGTAAAGCAGCCTTATGCCAAAATTGAGGGAAATTTGTGGTGCCCATACATCTTTGTCCATTTTTTCTTGATACTCCAAGCAACTTTTGAATACTCTGAAACATTCCAGGACAACTAGAAGAGTTACAACCGACATCAGGAATAACAATTCTATTTCTCTTAGGAACAGTGTATCACTCGTACCCCATCTACCAACGTGTCCAAATGGCACAGATGTACAAAACATGTCTCCACCTCATGGAAAGAAGCTTTTTTGTAGAAGCAGTTGGACTGACCGTGGCTGACTGTGACCTGGGCCCTTGACTATCTCAGTGCTTTATTAATCTCCTTTTGCATCCTCTTTGAGTGGGTTGGGGTTTTTTTTTGGGGGGGGAGGAATTTGAGAGTAACGTGTACGTGTATGAGGGTTTGCCAGCCATTTTTTTCCTGTTTTCAGCTCCATCCTTGGTGTTGGTGTTTGTGTTCATCGCTGTCTCTGTGTTAGTGCTTCTTGTGCCAACGGTGCTGGGTTTGATCAGGAACAAACTCAAGAAATGGCAGAGATGGCCCAGGATTAAGCTGCCCGAGCCTTTGGTGAGTGCCGCCACAGGCCTCCTGAGAATGATACTGGCATCCCTGTCCCGCTGCGTATACACGTGTCTTGAGTGGAACCTGGCAAAGGGCTGGACTGGTACCTTGTTTTTTGGTACTTTGTATCATTGCTGGAATGAAATCACTACATTGTTTATAAAATACCTAATAAATGACCCCTTTCCACCATTAAGAGGTGTATTTGCTGCTGAGGAGTGCTCCCCCCTTGGAAGAAAATTTCTTGGCAAAACCTATGACAAGGTTCATGCCATAGAAACTAAACTGATCAAAGCACAGCAGATAGTTTTCTGCAAACATGCGCTACTTTTTTTTTTGTCAACACTTGGGTCAGTAAAAGCATTGACAGGATTTTGTTTTCAACAGCTTTGCACCTTCAACTCTGTATTCCAAAGTTTGGGCACTGATTTGTAAAACTACCACTTTAGACCACGATGCCCTGAGGTACACCATACCGTACATTGTTTGCATGATCAATACTACCTCATTGTGTAAACAGAGGAAAACAAAAATATTCCAAAGCTCTTGGGAATGGATAAGTTGATGTACCCAGAGCAAGTGACATGGCCTTTGGAGCCTGTTGGATTGTTACCCGTGATCTTCATTAATGTGATATATGCTGCAGAAACAGCTGCGAGCTGATGAAATTGCACAACTTCATACCCATATGAAACAATCTGGGCACCAATTGTAATGTTTACAATGTGGCCTCCGTCCCGGGGGAGTGGGGCACACAGATTCCCCTCTCAAATTCAAGCATGGTCATGGTCATTAATGTGACCTTCTCTCAGAAGTCCAGGATGTCCTTGCCAGAAGAGAGTGAAATTTGGACTCCAGGAAAGAGGAACTCTTTGCAGAATGGACAGATTTAGAGCAAACAATAGATGTGTGTGGAACAGAGTCCATGTACATGTATAAGGTTTAATACACAGAACAAATTTCTTTTTCACAGTGGTCAAAAATGTCCTATGCATCATTAGAACAATTCAAGTGGGCTATACTGGGCAACTACAATATTCCAGACTTGCATGCAAAGTCATTGTTCACTTCCCTGGGGTTTCACTCCCCGTGTGTCAGTAAGTAATTGATTAGGCTGGTCTTGATACATTTTTGGTAAAAAGTTCACCAGTTTTGCTCATGCTATTTCAATCTCTTTACCAGAAGCAAGATGGCATTAGTAGGAACCGTCTTTCCTCTCCTTACTTGTGCAGAATAACAACATTGGCAATATTCGAGGTCACCGAGAGAGGGAGGTTTTTGATGACTTGCTTCCACCAGAACAAGCTGATGGAGTCGACTCCCAGGCTGCAGGAATATTCAATGCAGGGGCCTGTCTTGGGGCCCAAGGAGGCGCTTGCGGTGGGATTCAACCACTGGGGGCTTTGGCATTGCAGGATCTGAGCCAATCCTCGGCAGGCCGTGATATGGAGGGCGTGGATGTCATCTCAACAGGCTTTCACCACTCAACTAGTGGACAAGTCAAGCTGCCTTCCTCGGGAACTTCCTCGCCCCACAGCCCGCTCAGCATCGCCAGCGAAGGCAGCTACATCGACCTGCCGTCAGGAAGGATGAGGTGCCAACGGTCTCCGGGTCTGAGTTCCACAACAATCCAAGACTGTGTAGCTTCAAGATCTCAATTCTTGTGGGATGAAAGGAGCATAGGGAATCAATCCTTAGGGCTGGGGGTCTTTGGTGAATCAGGTGACCGCCCATCTGCTGCATCTGGCATGCAAGATAAGAGAAAATGGCCTAATGAATTGCAGGAAAGAGCCCGAGACATCATTAAGGTGAGATTAGGAGGGGGTTTATTGCTTGTTCCCGAGGAACAGGAGCAGGGTGAGTGGGTCGGAACAGAAAGGAGGTTGTCAGCATTGGAAGGCTCTACAAATGCCCATGGAGCTGCCACTGCAAGACTGAGAGAAGAACCCCAGGGAGGTTACTGTAGAATGGGTCAGGTGCACTTGGTAGAGATGCCTGCAGACGAGACAAGAGAAAGTGCACCTGCATTAGATTGCTGGATGGTCCGAATTGGCTCAACTGCATCGACTGAAACTCCTATTAGTCCCGAGGGAAGTGAAGGGAGTGTCTGGCCAGGGTGGCACAGGGATGCAGGTGAAGCTGGCAGCATTCTGTCTGACCAGGAACCTCTGCTTAGTCCAAGCTCTGACATTTCTCTGCCAGTTGGAGCTTCAGCGTCAGTTCATGGGGATGCTGGCTCAAGGAGCTCTGGTCCCGTTAAAGACTTTGACAGTCTTATGTATATACAAGTTTGCGCAGAGGGAAGTGATGAGGAGATTGAGAATCATGAAGAAATAGGTGCAGCTTCTCAGCTTCCCAGCAGCCAGCCCCTCCATGATCCTGATACTTCAGACACGCCAAGGATCTCAGAAGTGTTGGACAACAGTTGCAGTGTCCATTCTGCTGCTACTGCAGGACCAAAAGAAGAACCTCGAGGGGGTCACCTTAGGATTGATCAGATGGGCTCAACAGTGGTGTCTGAGAATGAGACGAGAGCAAGTGCTTCCCCATCAGACTACTATCGGATTGACCGATTTGGTTCCATTGAATCAACTGAAACTTCTGAGGGAAATGGAGGGAGTGTTTGGCAGGGGTGGTACAGGGATGCAGGTGAGGTTGGGAGCATTCTGTCTGACCAGGAACCCTTGCTCAGTCCAGGCTCTGACATTTCTCTGCCAGTCGGAGCTTCAGCCTCATTTCATGGGGCTGTTGGCTCAAGGAGCTCTGGTCCTGTCAAAGACTTTGACAGTCTTACGTACATACAGGTTTGCACAGAGGAAAGTGATGAGGAGTTTGAAGAGCAGAAAGAAACAAGTGCTGCTTCCCAGCATCACACCGGCAGGCCTCTCCCTGATCCTGATACTTCAGATGTGCCAAGGAACTCCAGTCAGGATATCAGCACTGATTCAGACAGTCATCTCTCAGAGGTGTTTGAAAACAGTGGCAGTGTCCTTTCAGCTGCTACTACTAAGCCCAAAGGAGAGCCTCAAAGGGGCTACGGTAGGATGGATCAGATGGACTCAAAAGTGGTGTCAGAGAATGAGACGAGAGAAAGTGTTACCTCATCAGATTACTATCAGATGGATCAGTCTGGCTCCATTGAATTAAATGAGACTTCTGAGGGAAATAAAGGGTTGAGTGTTTGGCTGGGGCGGCACAGGGATGTAGGCGAGACTGGCCGCATTCTGTCTGACCAGGAACCCTTACTCAGTCCGGGCTCTGACATTTCTCTGCCAGTTGGAGCTTCGGCCTCAGTTCATGAGAATGTTGGTTCAGGGAGCTCTGTTCCTGTCAAAGATTCTGACAGTCTTACATATGTACAAGTTTACACAGAGGGAAGTGATGAGGAGTTTGAAGAGCAAGAAGAAACAAGTGCTGCTTCCAGTCAGGATATCAGCTCTGTTTTAGAGGGTCCTCTCAAAGAAATTGCGGAAAACTATGGCAGTGCCCATGCTGCTGCAAGACCAAAAGAACATCAAGGGGGGCCACTCTAGGTGTAGGATGGATCAGAGGGCTCAAATGTGGTGTCCAAGAATGAGATGAAAGTGTTTCCCATCAGACCACAGTCGGATGGACCAGCTTGGTTCCATTGAATCAACAGAGACTTCTGACAAAAAGGGAGTGATTGGCCAGGGTGGTGCAGAGATGGGGGGGGGGGGGCTGGCAGCATTATGTCAGAAGCCTCAGCTCAGCCCAGGATCTGCCATTGCCCTGCCAGTCGGAGCTTCAGCCTCCATTCAGGGGGATGTCGGTTCAGGGGGCCCCTGCCTCATTCTTAAAGTTTTCACTAGTGGACGTGATGAAGAGATCGATAAGGACCAAGAAGCAAGTGTTGTCCCGCTTTAATCTGGGAGGTCCCTGCACCGTCTATAAGCCTCATCAGATGGGTATAGTAGCCCAACTCCAGACAAGCGCACTCACTGGAGGCTGATTTCCAAGAAGGCCATGCCACCCTAAATGGTACCCCTGACCCCAGTAAAGATAAATGCCAATGAAGAGGGGGAGGACTACAAAAGCATACATGCCACTTCAACTGATTTGAGCTTCATCTTGTGGGCAACGTGCCTGGGAGGTGACTGCCAAAGCGTTTTGGGTGTACTATGTACATGCTCTGGCCCACAGTCGGTACCCTTCCAGGTACCGATAGCTGAGGTGGTGCAAACAGTGAGTGCACTCCCTACTGCGTTTTATCCAATGCTCCTTACAGAGTACTAAAGTCATGTAGAATGATTAAATGCCGTAAAAGGAATGGAGTACATGGGCACATGGTTCACACGTTGGTTGTCGCGCTAATACCTTTTACACACATACTTGTGAGTTTGTTTCTGCATTCAGTTGGGGACCCTGAACAATAGAGGANGTGTACAAAACATATGGGTGGTCTTCTAAAAAAGTTAAAGTACAAACAAAAGAGGAACAATAGGGGGTCCCCAGTTGCAGGCACATACACACTTGGGTGTGTGTGGTATTCACTTCAGTACTCTATATTGCTACCGGGCACACTGCGCACGGGCCGAACCAAAACCAAATTTTTTGGGGGGGAGGGGAGCCAACAACTGTATTTTGGGAGGGTCAAAAAGTTTTCTGTGACCTTCTAAGACCTTTCTGAGGGTTAAGACTTCATTTTGGCACTTTTTACACACTTTTGGTACCCGTAGGAAGGGAAAGGAAATAGACCAAAACAATTACTTCTTTTCAAAGTTTCGTTACTTTTCCAAAAAATTTTTTGGACGGGGGAGGGTCAGGCCCCCCCGTTGGCTTCCAGATCCAACCCTTGATACTGTAGTAAAATGAATTCTTTGAAAAATGTGAATATTCTAAGGTGAAAATAAAGTTGACATAGTCATTCCTGAACAGGGGACGCGGCTTGCAAACTGGCTTGCAGTGCATTATAGTTTCAATTGAAGCTCATGTTTTGAATACGTTTTATCACTTCTGCCAAGTATTTTTTTTTAATCCTGTCGGAATCAGGTGAAGAATGGGTTTATTTTTATACACTGCCTGCCTTTGCTTGCCACTCTAAAATTCTTTATTTTATACCTTTCACAAGATCTAACAAATTTTGGGGGAATTTTGTGTCAGGGTGGTGTAAATTAGTTGACACAGGTTTTGCCTGTTCTGCCAATAGTTTTTTTCTTTCAATTTTGAACATTCCTTAGATATTGAATGCCTAAACCAATGCCAAGTTCTTCAGTGCAAAGAACAATCATTCCATTTATGGTAATTTTTTCACTTGCCAGATGTATGCAATATTTAAAACTTAACAGCCGTCCAAATATTGTAATCAACTGTAGTGTGTTATTATCAATAGAGGCTTCACTTGGTAGCCATCTTGCAGGGCAGTTCCTTTGTTCCACACAGAAACCTCCTTTGTGCATATCCTGTGGAACCAAAGCACTGGCCTGCAAGATGGCGGCCATGCAAACCCTCTATTGGTGCTTTGAATGAATTACTCATTTGAGTGCATCTACATGTACAGACGAATCCAGTAGCCATGGTTACGTGATCACTGGACATTCCTAAAGGCCCCCACCAATGGTGAAAGGCATTACACAATATCCACTAAATCTCTTTACAATATTGTCAGATCATCGATCGACATCATGATCTGGTGCATGCAACGGTCAGCTGTTGATTATACCCCTCTATATACACTGTCCATCTGGAGGAAGGCACGGTAAGCACAGTCACAGTTCTTCACACAAAGGTCTAGACTCTGCGCAGTTGCAAAGAATACAAAGCCTTTTTATTCTGAAGGTATGGGTGCAGGATGCGATGAGCTCACACGACCATTTCTTTTGGCATGTATGGTCCTTGTGTGTACACCAGGCGCGTGCACCAGGCATGTTCACGAGCCCAGTTAGAAAATGTCCCACCACTTTGTCTTTTCGTAGCCAGTGAGGGTGCACTCCAACCAGGGGCTGATAAAACAAATGGAGAATATTCCACATTCGTACAGTGGAAAGAATAACCTCATTGGGTGACAGATTGTACGTTCTATTCTTCTCGGCTTTGCCTCATGAGTAAAAGGAAATCAATCTGTCATGTCTGTAACCTGATGAAATTAAATACCATTGCACTCATAAACATTCATTGCTACGGCGCCAACTGTACTGTGGCAGCCGTTCTGAAAAAAAAACAGAAGAACCAACACAGTACTTTCCAGCATTGAAAGCGGCCGTCTGGAATGTCCATTGACAACCTCACTGGATTCGTATGTACCAAAGAGTGATTTACATATGTACATATGTATTTTTTGTCAAATTATTTCCTCCAGTTGCCTATTGACCTTCACCCAGATGCAAATTGCGGCAAGTTGGCCATGTTTTCCTTTGACCATAAACTTGCAAAACAGCTTTTTTAGTGGCAACCTTTTGGCGATGTATCATTTGTGACTTGCCTGTATTTAAGCAATAGAACATTCACACGGACAAATGTATGTTCTAGAGCAAGTAGAACCAGCTACTGCTTTGTACCGGTAAAATGAAGCGGTTTTCTACTTTTTTTATAAAAGATCATAAGAAAGATCTTATGATTTGATGTGTACTACAGTATTATACAGAATTTTTAACTTTGCTGTTGATACATTCTTGCCAATTATATAAGACAATCGAGACAGAGTAACTTTAATATGTATATTTTAATCACTTCGGCTAATTTTGTAACCAGAAATGTTCTTTGAATAAGGTAGATACTTGCCGGTGCACCCGTTTGGGATCGCTGCGGCATTTGATCAAGCAAAGTCATCAGGGACCTTAAGGGTTATTGGCACGGTTACTCCTGTTAACACGAGTAGGATGCGTGCTCATTACACTGGGGTACAGGAGTATACTTCCCCTCTATGGCGAGTATACTCTCGCTGACCCGAGTCGTACTCCAGCTGTTCAGGTGCTCAGGAGTATAGTCGTGTTAACACGAGTAGCTCGCTTGAAAGCACCCTAAGTTACTGGTAAAAAATACAGGGAAAGAAAAAAAAAACTTAACAGATCCTTTGTATTTACAGATATATACAGAAGAATTCAATCACACACCTAATTAATTAATCCAGAATTTCGTTTCCAATTACTTACAATACTTGTTTATGCACTTAACTTTGTAATATTGAACAGAATTAAACCGGACAGTCAAGTGGAATATGTTTCCTGTGGTTGGAATCCACACTGAAACTTGGATTCAAATATTGATAAACTATATGTTTAATAGTCTCATTGATAGACTTAGCATACTTAGTGAGAATGGTTTAACAACTCAATAAAAATTAATCAAGTTCGATAAATAAATTCGGAACACTGAAATATGACTCAAGTGCAGATTAAACGAGCTCACATTGATGTACTGAATTACACTTATGAACACATTTTGTGGTTTTGCCCAAATTGAAATTGTATCACTAACTCCTGCACGAAACAGGAGGCTGGGAAGGGCTAAATTCTTTTCACAAAAGTCTGTGAAGAAAGGAAAGCTCCGTGGGTAGTCCGCTCACTTAATCAATGCGTTTACATTAAAATACATAGGGATACATTGCAGAAAAATGTTCCCAAATGCTGCTTAAAATGCAAGGGCTGAATACAAAAGTTTGAAAATTGTTTAAATTTTTGTGAGCAGCGTTTCGTTATTTGATACAGTCCAGAATTAAAAGGTGTATTCTGGTTTGGCTGTGTTAGTGGCTTCTAAAGCCCTGTTGCTTGGCAACTGACTTCCCACAGCTGTTTGGCGAGTGCCTCATCGCTTGCCATGGCGCCCTCATTGCCAGGCCGACAGTCGACAAAGTAGTCCCCCGAATGTTGGCGGACGGACTCGTCGATCGCGCAGTGGATGACACACTGGGCCCCGGCTTCAGGAGTTCGCATGAGAAACCTGAAGTGCCAATTGTTGAAAGAGAGAGGGACGAAAAACCAACCATATTCAGCTACTCTTGCCTTGACTTTGACCTCTGCCCGGATGGGCTTTGGGGGCGGGTAGCCAAATAACGTGGGCATTTAATTTAACAGGTGCACTTCTCCAGTGTCAATGTGCCCACTGGCATATTGCCCTGCACTCACACAATGATATCACCAAGGAAAAGGAAAGTTGGGACTGCAAAATCATCAAAATTAATTGCAGTTTTTGTGCTCAAATAATCCAACATAGTTCTGCTCCTGGAAACTTGCATTACCAAAACCAAAAATAAGTCCTGACACCTTTTAAAAGAAGCAAAATTCAAATTGAAAATGATGTTACTGAAGGACAAACAGGTATTTCAAGGACTGTTCTGAGAAAATTGCATTGTGGGGACCCTTGTGATTTCACTTGATGCATGTGATTTCACTTGACTCGCTCACATGATGTGCATGCGATTTCACTTGACTCGCTCACATGATGCACATGCGATTTCACTTGATTCGCTCACATCATGTGCATGCAATTTCGCTTGACTTGCTCACATCATGTGCATGCAATTTCGCTTTTAGGGAATGAAAAGCCCATGGATGTTTGAAAACCCGGCAAATTCATTTGGGAACTGTAAAAAACATCAACTGAAGCATGGAAGCTAACTATTTCCAGTCAACCCCGGCGCCCACCTCACTGAAAGCAGGGAGGTAGAAATGCTGAAAGTAACGCCTCTACTTTTCTGTCAGCAAAAAGTGAGTCAGTATGCAGATTACTGGTACTTTAATAACAATAAAATAATGCTGGCACTAAATATGAAGACCACAAATTGTTGTAAGAGCTGTGTAATTGAGGTTCACTAAAATAAGTTTGAAGCCAACGGGGAAAGTTGAGCTTCTGTACAATCAGTTCACATTTTCAGGCACTAGACAGTACAATGATGCATTTTGGTCTGAATTTCTCTATATTGGTGTATGAATGATAATCTGGCTTCAACTTGGCAAACGTTTGACAAACCAGTGGGTGGAGTTCAGGTCACAGGCGTTGCCAGGGTTTTTTTTTGGAGGGGATAGGCGGGTGCACACTGGTGATTCATGGTGGAAGGGGTACATGTAAATTCTGAGGTATTTGAAGCCAATTGGTGATTTTCACCCCTTTTCCTCCTGTTTTTTTGTTCTTTTTTTTATTTCTGGGGGAAGGAGACTCGACAACTCCATTTCCCCCTTCCTGACGCCCTCGCTTGAGACCCCAAGATTCCCCTACCTGAAGAGTGGAATGAGCAACTTCCTGCAGCTTCCCCTGCGCAACGCTCCGTCTATGGCACCCGTGTAGACGATGCCCGGGTGAACGGAGCACACCGTCACCTGGCTGTCGTCCGCCAGCCGCCGGCCGAGCTCGCGGGTGAACAGATTGACCGCCATCTTACTGATAGGGTAGCTGGCCAGTCGCAGGTAGCGGACAGCGCCACCAGCACTGCTGTCGTCGTCCTTGTCAAATTCGGTGAAGTCGAACGCCGGGGAGAAGCGGTGTGCAAGGGAGGACAAGTTGACGACGCGACTCGGCGCCGACTTGCGGAGCAGATCGAGCAGGAGGTTGGTGAGGAGAAACGGGCCGAAGTGGTTGACCCCAAACATGAGGTCAAAACCATCCTCTGTTCTTCCTTTTTGCCCTATACCTGCAAAGTCCATTGGAAATATTTTTTAGAAATAGATAAGGCAAGTACAAATATAAAATAGTTTTTAACCATTCGGGGGCCAACACTGAGTATACAGTGTTTAATACACGTTGGGCAGGGCCAAAAATCCAAAATTAACATCTTCGCAGTGCAAATCCATCCTTTGAAATAGTTTTCTTTTTTGCCCATTTCTTTTCTCCATGCCCACCTTTTGTCTTTACAAGTTCTCCTTGTTTTTTTTAGCGTGTGATGAATTTAATTTGTAATGAGCAAATAACAATTGAAAACTAACGCATAATTTACAACCTGCATTGTTGATCAAAATATCGAGTTTCGACTCCTCTCGGATGATTCGCTCGGCAAAACTCCGGACAGACTTCAAGCTGACGAGGTCTAGGTGACGGTACAAGATCTCCGCTCCGTCCGGCACCGCCTGCTTGATCTCGCTTATGACCTGGGCTGTCTTCTGCTCATTCCGGCAGGCCAGGATGAGCCGCGCCCCACGCCTAGCAAGGGCCAAAGCAGTGGCTTTCCCGATACCAGACGAGGCTCCTGTATAGTAGCACATGTAGTGGTATAATGGGTCATTCCATGAGGTTGGGGCGCAATTCGTGACAGTATCCTTGTTACACGGTGTCTTCTCAGATTACTTTATAAAAATCCTCCAGGCGTGTGAATCCATCTCAGAAAAGAAAGAAACGTCATGGATGGCACTCGCAGAATTTTAATTGAAAAACAAATAAGAAAGTGAAAGAATGAAAACAAAATTTGGCAATTACCGTGGGGTTTGAACCTGGGTTCACCTGATTACCTACATGTACATGTATTCTGGGAAGCCTACATGCTGCAGTCCATAAACATAATAATCGTAATGTAATCTGAAAGCACATGTACCCTGTAGATTGACAATGCAGAAAGAGTTCCATGTACACGGACAATCACTTAACACCTTGTGCACAAACCACGTGACACTGGTCTGAACAATTGAAGTACATGTATTTTCTAAATAGTAACTGCTGCGATACATTCCCTGCCTAAGTTGACTTTTTAGGACGTTGTCACTTTCTGATGGCTAATAAACCACTCTAGGGAAACATGAGTGGTCTCTGTGTAAGGCACCCTTTATATTGTACAATACCATAACTACGGAAGTTGGAAATTCCGGTATGGCTTCTGTAACTATAGCAACTACTGAACTGAAATCAATCTTTCAGTGAAAGATTGACTACTTTCAGCAGTAATTCCATCTGCTGATTCTGTTGATATTTTTAAGACCAACTTAACAACTCACTTTTTGAGCTTTACTTTTTATTGCTTGTTAATAGTTTCAATTTTAGTTGGTTTTGTTATTTGACTGTCATCTGTTTTCCCAGACAATCTGCAGAGAGAAAGAGTTCCATATATGGACAACACTAATTTTCCCTTAAAATGTTATAACAGCCGTCAAAAATGATAACATGTCCTAAGAACTGAAATTTAGCCAGAAAACTCCTTAGCATTTACTTAGAAAAATACTTGGTTTTTTTCAGACAAGCCCCACCGGTTTGTGCACAGGGCCTGAAGTGTTGTCCGTATATATGCACAGAGCAATGGAACTCTTTCCCTGGGGAGCACTTTCTGATGTCAGACCAGTGGCGTAGCTAAGGGGATTTACTAGGGGGGGCTCATATCCTCGGGTGTGTACATGATGTACTGTAGGTGTGATGCTCCACGCAATGTTTTCACTCTATTATTACACTAAATTATTGTCAACTGATTTGGAGGAATTTCTTCAGATTGTTTTTCAAACCAGGAAATGGGGTGTAGGCCTAGCCTAATTCTACTACTAAGTACTAGCAATTTAGGGGGAAGGTCTCCATGTATGTGAACATGAACACCCGTTTTCATTTGCCTTTGGATCCATCTCTGCAGACTAGATGCAGATCTCTGCAGACATCGACAGCTGTGGGGTTGGTCCGACGACGTCCGCAACACGGTGGACGACCGGACCCAACAAGTTCTTGGGGTAAACTTCAAATGTGCGTACCTGTAATAACAATCGTCTTGCCTGCCATTGACACACTGGTGTCAGCAACCCGATACCGGAGAACACACCAGTAATACACGAAACTCATCAAGGCAACAATAGTCAAGATGGAGCCGATTACAATCAGCGCAACTGCCCAGCCCTCCAATGCCATGATGCTGCCACCGCTACCCGTGAGAAATTCGACCGTGTCGTCTGCCGCTTGGCACGTCGAGCTCTCGCCTGAGCTTTGATAAACCGTTCCCCTGTTTTCCTCCCTGACCTCTGGACACTGCATTGTGGAACAATTGATGCCCTGTTATTCATTCGAACAAAGGACGATTTTCTAATTCCACTGTCCTCATGACTTACGCACGCTAGCCGTTAGGCCTGCATGTACATGTACTTCTTGTAAAAATTTGTACAAGCCGCGCTGGTGCAGCATGTGTTGCCGGCCCAGCGAGCTAAGCAAGCGAGAGCGCGCGACAGATACGTTGATGGATATGCATAACCGAGTCTTTGTATTCTTGGTTCCAAGTCGTTACTATCTGTGTTCTCGCAGTAAATTTTGCCAGTCAAAAGAGGGCGCTCTGTGACGGCTGATTGTGCAAGATTATTGTACGCATAGTTAGATATATAGACCTCGTCTTTCACATAGCGCCCTCTGTTGACTGGCATAATTTACTGCGCTAAAGCGTGCATTAATTCACGAACACAGCAACAGATAGTAACGTCTTGGAACCACGACTATGCATAGCCAGGCACAGTGCGTGATGTCACTTCGCAAGACGCACACACGGCAATCAACACGTGGGTGCGGTGGGCACTTGCCTATCAGTGATGATGCTGAGCGCAGGGTAGTCATTTTAATCTTTATTTTCGCGACTTTGTGTATCACCAAGACCTACGTGATACGGAGTAAGTACAATGTTATTTTGCTTTTATTATTCCACACTTTACAGGAATAAAATTCATAGGCCTAGTCGTTGAGACCATGGAGAAAAGGACAGACCGTAATAGTAGGATCAACATTACCACATGAATAAAAATCTTCCAAGGTAGTTTCAACTCACTTTAGCAATATACCTGTATTAAAGTACTGTGTACTGTACTGAGTTGGAAAGCCTTTGCAATTACGTCAATCTTGTACTGTATGTAGGTCTATTGACCTGATTTCAGGGGTTTTTTTGAAAGTGCAAAATAAGCGCTTTGAAAATGTACCCACAGTGAAGAAAGTAACTACTGACGTTACGCCTACTTTTCTGAAAATAGGTTTATACATGTATGTATATTTAGGGGTAATACCTGAATTTATAAATGTTGAAGAACTTCTTATGTGGGATGTGGGATTGTCAGAGATTTGTTCAAGTGTGCCACAAATAGAGAACAGTCAGCCGAAATTGTGCCAATTTCTGGATGCTGCTGTTTTTGAATTTCAGGTTTTTAAATTTCATGACACCAAAATTGTTCACAGAGGTGATCAGTATTACGTATTTTAAAGATAATATTATCATTATTCACTGTAACTGAATGAATTCAAAGTTTTTCAGCAAAGAGGTTTGGCAGTGATTCATGAGGAAAGTCAAGGAAACATTGGAGAATGGCACATTAGAGACTCAACTTCATTAGGGCCAGGCCAGTGGTCTGTACCTCCGTATACATGTATGTGGCCCTACTCCTAAACTAGAAACAAGTGGAGGAAGGCTTAAACATTGGGATAAAGCTCCCGGCTGTGAAAGGTATCTTCTTGATTTTTTTGATTAATTCACCCAGTAGTTTATCATGTTCAATTTGCCCAAATGGCGAATTTCTGACCATCATGCCTGTTGGTGATCTATTTGTCATCTCGATACCATAATTTTGTTACAACTGGGATTTTCTCAAGATCTTCACTTACAGTGAACATGTACAACTCCAGACACCAGCAGATGTGGTGATCTCTGAAGACGTTAATTACTGCACACCACATTAGGTGCGTTCAACTAGCATTTACCATGTGTTTCAATGAATCTATTTTAGCAGAAGAGTAGCCCCCCTTAGGCTTTCATGCCTGTAGAAGTATGTCGTATGCCAGTGCAGTCATTGCAAAAGTTTAGGGCCACTCGTACAAAGTGCATCAACCTGAAGAAAAACCAAACTTAAACCAATCAGTCATGAGTTAAACGTAATCAAATTACGTTTACTTTCAGTGTGTATATTGGTCAAACAACTATTTGACTAAATTTCCATGATTTGAAATGTTAACAGTCTAATGTTTAGTGTGCCCTCCTTTTTTCTGATTACAATAGACTTTTTTCCTGATTTTTTTTTACCCATGCTGCCTTACAGACAAAATATCATATAAGACCTGCCTTTGCAAAAAATTACATTCAAATGCCGGGGTCTATAGATAGCACTACTACAGTGATGTTATGTGCCATTCAATGAGACAATGCCATGCAGGCCCAGTGACAGAAATACCAACAAAATTCCAGGCGGTCTTAAACCCTTGCAAATGACTGTAGTTTAGAGTTCCCCTTCCTTGCATTTAATTTGGCCACATACATGTAGTGTGGCCATGATACTCAGTGGAGCAGATCAGCAGAGACAAGTCAACTTACATGTCATGTACTGTCCCACATAACTGGAGTGTGGTTTTCTGCTTGAGTCCTGTCTGCTAGAGTCAGTGATTGAAGTCTGAGTGTACATATACATGTGTTCTTATAAGAACTGTTTGACACACTGTGCTGGTGAATGCTAAAAAAGCCGCATTATTTTGGACCATGTGACTTGTCACAGCTGGCACTGTGACTTGGCCGTCCAATGCTTTATTTTGTAAAAATAAGGTGTGCTCAATCCAACATATTGTTTTGTTATGATGGTCATTTGAAGTTCAAGACCGCACACACTGTGTGTGCCGGCCCGCTTATGTGTTCAGTACATTCATTGAGCACGGCAGTGGAGAAGTATAAAATTGGGGCTGATCTGTGATTCCACGGTCCCTCGCTGCTCTTTTTTTGTTAAACTTTCGTTCATGGTTTTCAAGTCTTATTTAATTTTTCAGTATGGTCATTTTTGTAAAGGGTTGATCATTTGGGGGGGGGGTTTGATACTTACATGTACATGGAATTGGTGCGGGAGTCCCTATTGATTCAGTTCCCAGCAACGTTGCCGTTGAAGATTCTTCAGTTTTTAGTAGTTTGAGTTTCTCTTATTGTGATAGTTTGCTATTTTTCCAGGTCTGCCTTGTAATCGAATGCACCCTATACGCCTGCATTCCATTGGCACACTTTGATGCTGGACCCCACACCTGCATACACACCTGTCAGCTGGCAATCAGGTAAGAGATAACTGGACGATGGAGACATGTAAGTCTGGATATGACGTCATGCTCATGTACATGTTCATGTAATTAACACCTGCTGACCCTTCTGATTTAATTGCAATTAGGCAGCTGCGGTGGCTTCACCCTCCAACCATGAAATGGAAAAAAAAAGGGGAAGAAATTTTTTAAAGAGGGGGGGACTGCGTGGGGTGGAAAGCAATGGAAGGTGTTGGGTCACTGTGTGTGTGGGAGGGGGAGGTAACGTTTCCCCTCCCCTGTAGGGTCAGGAAGATCAGGCATAAATTGAATAATGTATCTGCTTGAGCTGAAAATCTTTCCTTATTCAAAATAAAGTTGAAGTTGCCACGTAAGTAAGTGCAACCATCAAAAAAAAGGAAGGTTCTGTGTTAATTTCTGTTGTCTTAGAGAACTAAATTAAAAACCAAAGAGATTGCACAGTGCCGGATGTTATACACTTGGTAGACAAAATGACAAATGTTTTTTGGCTGAGAACATAACCGACGGTAAACCTGTCTTGGGGTAAAAAATTCCCCCCCCAAAATTTACTGATGAAAGCCACATTTTTGAATCTTTGAACAGTCTGTTTGCAGCTCTTTAAAGATAACAACATGAAAATGAATATTTGTCTTGTGAAAAGAAAATTTTTAATTATAAGTGGGTGAATTAGTTAAATCATTTTATGATTATTTTAATTTCACAGATCAAGCCCTTTATTGTCATAATATCTGCTCTTGGAACATTGATGAAGGTCCAAGCAAGATGGTCAGATTGTGGAATCAAAGAGGGCCAGCAGTCTACAACCTTTAGAAAAGGAGTTTAAAAAAATGGTAAAAACTGCATGTATCACTTTGCAAATACTGACCTTGACCCTAACCCTGCCAGATGCGGCATACTGCAGCAGATTTAAAGTCTGATGCACCATAGCCGTGTTCCCATTGGACGTTTTCTTCTGCGGGTACATGGAAACTTACCGCGACTTCCCTTCGCGTCAATCTACCGTGCATTCCGCCCACATGGACTTTTTAACCGTAATGGAATGTTTATTCGCTGTGTTAGGCCTAATAAGACCAGCTGATTACATTGCCTACAGTGTGCAAATCATGATGAAATCGGCAAAATTTGACCAAAACAAAGATAAAATCAGATGAATTCGGCCAAATCTACCACAAAGACGAACTTGTACAGGAAAAGCCCTGTATACAATGTGTATATAGCCATATCTGGGTACGCCTCAGTGTGTGTGCACGGCATGCTGCTGTACTTTATGCATGGAGCTGGAGGCTGGGACCCATACAACCATTTTCTCTGTGTAGGCAGTAGTCTGGTTCGTATGATTAGCATGGTCGCGGTCAATCTACATTGTACTTGAACTGTTCCCAGTGGACTTTTTGCACCCCTGCTAAATTACCGTGGCTGCATGGAAATCTTCCACAACCCTTTTCGGCCTGTTATTTATTTTTACATTATGATCGCAGTAAGTTGACAGGGTACCACGTGTTCCCATTGGATTTAATTTTGTAATTCTACAGGAAAGTTGTACTAAGTTAACAAAAAAAGTCAGATGGGCCTTTTAATGCGCGGGGCAATCAATGGCAGCCAAATGAACTGGTCATGTTGAGAAAATGGAGTCTCACATGAGACATGTAGTCTCATTGAACAATGCCACTGTTGGATCTTGTAGTGGCAGACTCCCAGGCTGTTTGGCCGTGGGGAGAGTTGACCTGTACGATCTTGCCACCCAGGGCAAGCAAATTACTTTGACAAATGATGCAGACTGACGTGTCTGGCAGGGTTTCTAGCCAAACCACCCTGAACAGTCAGGGTTATATATTGTGCTTGTTTTAATTATGAAAATGGCTTTGGAATTATTCATATTAATTGACAGAAATGAGGCTTTTCTATTTCTCCAGTCCAGTAGTTAACTCTTTCTTTATTGTTAGGGCAAGTGGATAGAAGCAGAGATGGTAGTGAGAGTGGAAGAAACCTGTGCTGTCCATCCAGGAGAAGTCTGTCTTCTGCAGTGACTGTAAGATGTCTTTTCAAGCATTGAAGATGATATTGAGGCCATACTTTGATGTCACAGAGAGATGCACAAAGTAACGTCAAGGCAATATTGAAGATTTCAAATACAGACACTCAAGCCAGTAGGGGTCCTAAGATATTACCTGAACCAAATCACTTTCAGGGTTGGCAACTTAACAATCACCATTGTGCAGTCAATTGTGTGTGTTCATTTGACCCTCAAAGAACCAGGGAGTAGATCTGGCCCCTCGAGATTTTGACTGATATCGCCACAGTACAATAGTCCAACCTTGAGGAGTTGTTCAGTAACTCTTTTGTGGTCTTTCTGACATTAGTTCTGTGAAAATTGCACATGCATGTATCTTTCTCGTTACAAGCACCTCTTTTTCCTGAAAGAAAAAGCAAAAAAACCAAAAAGACCCACAAGTCTGGTCCAAGCCAATTTGGCTCGTCAGGCCGGTGTTTATTGCGGTTTCCTTGGCATGAAATGACTGAGAATATTTCTTTTTCCCCCTGGATGGGATGCCAGTCCAACACAAGTTGCTTCCCACACTAATACTGGTACCCATTTATACTCCTATGTGGAGAGGGGCAAGCAGGGGTGAGGTGGCTTGCCAAGGGCCACAACATACTGCCAGCAGCTGGATTCGAACCTCCAACCCTATGATTGGAAGCCACAAACCCTAAACACTTGGTCACATGAAAGAGGTCAGCCATATTTGTAAAAAATTTTTATGAGCCCAGCCTTTAGTTTCATAAAGCAGCTTTTTACAGTCACTTTGACAGCAGTTCTGTGAAAATCACACAAACTGTTCTCATGCAGCACCCACTTTCCCGAAACAGGTCGACCAAAAAAACGTACCTGCACTTTCAATTGCTGTGCTGAGTGCACACAGTGTCTGGTACACTTGTAACCTTCAACTTCAAATGATCAAATCAACTATAAGTTCTATGTCAGATTGATTTGAAACTCCACATCTGTATTGATTAGGAGTGTTTTACATGCACGCCGAGTGTTGAAAAAAATCGGGCTTGGGACAGCCAAGATCTCGGCTGTGATATGGTACAAAATAGCCTGCCAACTTCAGGGTTAACACTGGCATAAAATTGACAGAACTTGATGACATTTATTGGTTTTTCCTGGCACTCCTGACAGGAGGAATTTCCTTTGTGTTTGTTTAATGGCACAATGGTTATGGAAAAAGGAAAAAGAACTGAACACTGCCTTAATGGCACACTGGTAACGGAAAGAGGAAAAAAGAACTGAACACTGCCTTAATGGTACAGTGGTAACGGAAAGAGGAAAAAAAGAACTGAACACTGCCTTAATGGCACAATGGTAATGGAAAGAGGAAAAAAAGAACTGAACACTGCCTTAACGGCACAGTGGTAACGGAAAGAGGAAAAAAAGAACTGAACACTACCTTAATGGCACAGTGGTAACGGAAAGAGGAAAAAAAGAACTGAACACTGCCTTAATGGCAGAGTGGTAATGGAAAGAGGAAAAAAGAACTGAACACTGC